TGCTTCAACACCACACTAATGTTAGTTTGTGTGCACATAGTTTTGTTGATCTATTGCCTCTTGTTTTTTTTTAAATTACTTCTTGAAAATAAATGAAAAGGAAATTCAATCTCATGTTGTCCCCAGTGTGCCAAAATCATACTGAACAGTGACCCCATAACCACGTTGAACCATACATTTTGTGTACTGTTACACACCTAGTATCAACAGAGTTTGTGGTAAAGTGTGTGTAACAGTGATTAAGCTCTCCCTTACAGTTATGGTTTGCCCTCTTTCTACACTCATCTCATCAAGGCAGAAAAATCTGAAAGCATATTAAGGAATTATTGTTTTTAGTTTCTCAACTGTGATAAATTCAAGAACGCGTTCTACACAAGCACCACCATAAAATCATAGATGACCTGTTGATAACTTTACCAAACAATTACATCTCCAGAACCTGTTTCTAAATGCATTTCATGGCACTGAGCATTAGTAGGTAAACAAATTCAGTGTGTTGGCAGAGGTGATGTATAGTCGAAGTTCTGGAAAGAAAGTCATTAGCTACGTGAGATTAACAACAACTCAGCAACACCGGTGTTATCATTTAAAGAAACTATAACTTACACTACATTACATTACAGTACAGTACAGGATAAGTATAACAACAAATGTGGACATACTGCAGAACTCGGCCACACATCCACAGTACTGTCCCGAAACTCTCTAACTAATTTGTTGACTCCTGTGGGGGCTTCTTTACCTCCCTGAGAGGGCCTGTCTTCTTATCTGGCACCATCTCCTGTCTGGAAGCTCTACACCACCATCATATTATCATCATCTACCTGCATGACAGCCAAGCACCACTGAGTGCACAGGAGAGGCGAGGACGAGGTAGATGGCTTTACACTGATAAAGACCACAGTGTTTCCTTGAGGGTTTAACTAGCAGTAAATTAGGAATTTAATGTTAAGGATATAATTGATGATGGTGGTGTGTTGAAGATGTGCTTCCAGTAAATAGATCTGATAAACAGATAAATACAGCCGTAAACATCTTCATATAAATAAATATCCATCATGGCACTCTTTCTTGCAAATGTTCTTGCGACAGCGATTCAACTTCAGTCAGTGATTTTAATAACAAAATAGGTGTGCATCAGGTACAGCACTTGAATGACATGAACATGAGGCTATTCTGCAGCATCACAACTAAAAATGTAGTAAATTAAATTGGTTTTAATCATGAAATTTTTATTACACTGTTTTTATTACACAGATGTTATGATGATGGAGAAGAATGAAAGGAAAGTCGATGAGAAAAGACGTCACAGCCCGACACTATGCTCTTTGGAAAAACCACAACAGTAAGTGCTTGAAGTGCAAATATGGAGACAAAATCTAAATTGAGTAACTCAAGGATAATCACTTCAGGTGGGGATGCTGAAATTGGATTACAGCCTTAATATATATATATATATTAAGTTGTGGAGGTTTAGGACAGGTAGAGGAGACACAAGAAAAGCTTTTTATTTTTTAACAGTGGAGGCACGATAAATATTCCAATTCAGCTAATAAAAAAACTAAGATTAAATGAAATAAATGCTATTTCATCACTTTTTGTGATTGTAACAATGAATTTCTAGTTACAAATTGTGCAAGTGTGTGTTGCGCTGAAACTCTTCTTCAAGTAATCAGCTCTTCCTGCAAATACAAATAAAGGCGTCCCTGAATTTGAATAACCGCACGTAGCCCTCTGAACCTGACAACTTCACTGAAAATATCATAAATCACAAAGGTGGATGGCTAAATTATGCTAAAGAGTGCTAACTGATTAGCATTAATGTGCTCACTTTCTCCTTCGCGCGCTGAAGCATAGCGGTTTGTTCCTCTGCCGACAGACAATACCATTAACCTTTGCAATTCAGGCTCTGCTGTGCGGTGGCAGGTTAGCGGAGGCAGTGACCCCTAAACTAGATGTTGCTATTGGGTGGTGGGGGTGAGCGTGAAGAAGACAGAGCAGGGGTGGACAAATGTGCTTCATAAAAAACAAAACACCTCATCTGAAATTACTAGAGTTATGGATCTAATTTGCTTCACGCACAAACTCATCTCATTTGACACTATAGAGATACATTTAAGCATAAATTCAGTGAGAATATCATGATGGGCAAACATGAGTGTGTTTGTGTGTGTGTGTGTGTGTGCGTGTTGGTGGGACGTTCGTTACCGTCTCCCTGATGTGTCCTACGTTATAGCCTAAGTGCCGACATTATAGCAGACACTCTCATCCATCTCTAAGGAAAACAAAGAAATAAAAGTTTCTATAAATCACTACCAGAGCTGAAAAAAAATTAACTTCTAATGTCCACAAGGTTGCATACACATCAGGTGCACCTGCTTGTGTTTTAAATAAAATCTGATTTGATTCAAGGTTTCAGTGCAAAGATAGGGTATCATAAACTTTTCATCACATTGCTTTTGTCTTTTTTACAGTTGCATTCTTTAAGTCTGTTATTTTATTTATCAGGACAAACAGCCAGCTAATTTATTTGATTCGATTTTGATAATCAATCATTTATCAAGCAAAGATTGTAAATATTTGTTGACTCCAGCTTCTCAAATGTTGTATCTGAAGAAATATCTACTAACTTTCAAATTAGTTCAGTTGAAGTTAATAGATGATTTTTAATGAATAAGAGACAGCAGCAAAGGTTGTTGCCTGTTTAAGACCTGGTGGCCTGACTGTTAAAGAAACACTTCAGGAAACTCAAACAGCTGATCAGTCTCTATCTGTTGATAAACTGTAGGAAAAAGTTTGAACTCTGGCAGCGGGCGGGCGTGTGCGTGAGACGAGAACGACCGCGACAGTTTAACGGGATCGCGACAGTCACACAGAAGCCGTTGCCATGGTTACCTCACGGAGCGCTTGTTTGCCTGTCTGTTGATGAGGAGTGCGGAGCGACCCGTGTGAAAAGGCCTTATATAGCCTAAACCTTGTCACAACCATTCACAAGATATTAATTAATAACTTGCCAAATACTTTAACATAAGGACGACTTAAAAGGGCAACCATTCACACAGCAAAGTGTGTATAGTCTACATGAGTGATCAATAGACAACAAAGTCAAAGTAAACATTAGACATAAAAAAGTGGAGTGGAATCCAGTTCTAAAAATCTTCGAGTGGACATATTCTCTTTCAAGTGGGGAAACTGCACATATTTAAACGGATAACTTGACAGCTTCTAACAAGCAATAATCAAAACATTCCCAATTTATCTGTTCCTTATTGTCAACTCAGTGTTGGGCAAGTTACTCAGAAATAATATTACCTACTAGTTACTTAGCATAGGCTATAGACCTACTCCTTGGAAAAAGTAATATTAGCTACTCTACTTAGGCCCACTACTAGGTGATAGCCTACTATAACCCCACTCTCTCTGGTGAGTGCAATGAGTCCAAGTATCACTGGCAGCAAGGGCCGGAGTTTCTTTCTGAGTTTCACATTGCTGTGTTGCTTTAGCTGATGCTTCAATTAGCCTAAGTATAAATGTAGAACTTTTTGCTGGTCGCACAAAGTTTACAACGGACGACAATGTTCTTTGCATCTTAGACTGTGACACAGTAATGGCAATGACGTTACTTAAAGCTTTCGAAAATACCTCTCTCTCCCTGTTCTGCAGTTGTCCATTAGCTTCTTGGCTAACAGCTGGCTTTAACAAACTGACGAGAATGACCGCGACAGTAACTACTGAACTACGGCCCACTACTGTATGGAGGTGAGCGTCTTGCTCACGGACACCTCAGCAGTCATTGCTGAGTGAATGAAAGTTACACTCTTCTCTAACTTCTATTTCTATTTCTTCTCTATACTTCTATTCTATCAAGGTGGATGAATACCACAAATGATTTTTTTCCTTTCAACACAAATTTAGCTAAATTCATCTGTTACAAAGGAGTATTTTTAAAACGACAACTTTGGTGCTACTTTCACCTCTTCCAGCTGTGCATCCACACAGATGAGCACACCGACTGACGTGGGTTTCATGTTACTGTGACAGTTTTGTGGTCAGGTAACAGAAAGTAAGTTATGCTGAGGTGATTTGTAGCTTTACTCCTGTTTCTGTGGCATTAAGCAACTTAGATGTTAAGTTCCCTCTCGAACATACACACAAAAACAAACACACACTTACACACAAACATGACACCAGACCATCATGTACTTTATGTACAATCCATCTCTTTTAGCTCAGAAGCTTTCGGATGGTTTTTGTTCTTTTAACTCTTGCATATGACTTGTGTGACTCCTAATCCAGCCGTTATCAGTTTAACCACTATAATCAGTCTACATAGTGTAACACCACTCTGAGACAGGACTTACAACATTAAACAGATGCTGCTAAAATTCAGCCTCTTACTTACAGTAATTCATATTCCGAAGAGTATTTTACCATAAAACTAAAACTTTTTTTTACAGTGTTCATGGTTCCCAGTGCTGGCTGGTAAAGGTAGCTGGGTTTGGGTGCAAACTTGATGGATATCTGCCTTTTATTAAATATCTACCAATGAAAAAACTTTCATTATGATGAGAGATATATGGAAAAACAGGATGGACAAGTTGCAGAAAAGCTATTTTTTCTTTCTGTACATTATGGTAAGTTTTCAGTTAAATGCTAAATGATATTTTTGTACATTCTTTTAAGAGATTTATTGTCTCATCTAAATGCTGCCTCAGAAGCTTTTCCACCATGACAACAATAATGTTAAATGTACAAAAACACTTGACTTGTACATAGACATTTTATTTTTGTTGTTAGTCATTACTTACTTTCACATTAAAAAAATTGTCAAACCGATTAATCAATTATCAAAATAGTTGGTGAACAATTTAATAGTTGACAACTAATCGATTAATCAAGCTCCACACATGTACAGTGCAGTGAAATACCTTTGGACCTTAAAGGCTTTAAATGGAGTCTGACTGTTACTGATAAACAGCAGAGTGGTTGTTGATAGTCACCTGGTATTGCTGGTAGTTGTACAGGTTGCCATAATAGCTGGAGTAGCGTGAAGGCTGGTAGAAGTTGTAGTAGGAGGTCTCCATCAGCAGGTCAGATGGTCCCTCAGTATGAGTCCGGGCGCCAGCCGACGGGCTGGAGGACGCCGCCGAGCGACTCCCTGGTCAAATACACACACAGAGAGGAGACAACAAACATCGGTTCAGAGTCTGAAATATCTTGTTTGTGACTGGATTTCAGTATTTTCTGACCATAATTACATCTGAAATATGGATTTATGCATTCATGTACTTTATATGTAGTTTTAGTTATTTGGTTTAATTTTTTATTTTCTTGTCTTTGCTGATGCTGAAAACCAATGAATCAACAATGAAAACACCCTTCAACAATGAGACCTATTCAACTTATACAGATCCTGGCTTGCAGTAGAGCTAATGATCAATCATTCAATAGGAAAAGAAAACATATTTCTTGAACTTGACAAGAATTTTCTGGTCATTTCACCCTTAGCTCAAATTGCTATCAACAGCACCATCTGCAGGTGAAAGGTGTTTTTGACATCAAATTATCAGACATATCAGAACACACCAGCACAATACAGAAATGTGGATTGCCCCATCACGACAAACATGACCATCAAATCATCATTACCCATTATCTAACGCTCTTTCCTTATCAACAAGGCCACATTCTTCTCAGGCAGACCCTAATCTTTCAGTCTTACACAATGAAGACACTGTGCACCACTGAAGCCAAAGATAATGACATGTGATGTCCCTGTTCGAATACTTGTCATCAGTGAATCACAGAGTGCTCAACTCCTTTTTCCACATCGGTCTTTCCTCTCTGTTGCCAAGCCAGAGACCCAAAGTTCACTCTCACATAAACACAAAGCAGGATCAGAGCAAGGCATGAGCAGCCTTGACCACAGTCATATTCCAACTCCTAATGTGCTATCAGGCTGACAGGGAACATGATATCTGTGTCTGCCTCCACACCACTGCCAAGAAAGACATCAAGGATGCCCTTTCATTCTGCTGCCACAAAATCAACTTTAATTTTCACTTATTTTCCCATGTCTCTTATTGATGGTATCTACAGTTCCTTTAAAAGTATTCTTGTCGTGTGGACTTTTTCATGTTTTATTGTTTACAACACTGACTATTAACAGTGGACTTAATTCAGTCTTTCCGACCCTAAACAACAGAAACAGATGACAACGCACAAAGAGATGAGTAACGCACAAAGAGAAATGCATATGGGGCCAGATTGCGCAAAGCTTTTTTCCTACTTTCAAGTCTACTTCCAGTGATCAGCACCTCACTACAACCCTTGATGTGGGTAACTTTTTCTATATTATAAAGAACAAATATAACAAACAAAATAATTGATTGAACAGACACCATACAACTGTCTCTTGTAGAGTTTACTTCTATTCTCATTTTAGTTTTAAATAACTTATTATTCTTTTTTTTTAAACTTAAAACTTAGTTCTCTTTGTGCTGCTGCAACAACCCGAATGTTCCCTCTGGGGATCAATAAAGGATTATCTTATCTTGGAACGTGGCTTTGCTGCCTGTTAAACTGAAGGTTTTGCAATTTTTGTACAGTCTGAATTGTTCTGCATGTTAAACTGTCAAAATGAAATAACAGGATTTCCAACTGATAAAAATGATCTTCTGAATTATGACAATGAGTAGTTCAGAAAAATAATTCATAGAACAAAAGTTAAATTATACAATTAAAGAGAAGGTGTCTCCAGAAGCACATTTTAAGTCAGCTGTGTTGAGAGAATGAAAGCATTTTAACATACAACAGATTCACTCAAGACATCAACAATTCAATGTCAATCCACAACTCACACATTGGCAACTCTTTCTTCTGAACAGCATCTTTGAATACTACTATTACTGTTGTTAATTTTCATTGATATTTGTATTATTCTCACTATTATTATTTTAAATCTCTATGTGTTGGGCCCACCTCAACCTCTCACCGCCCCTGTCTACACCCAACGGTCAAGGCAGTTTGTCTGTAATAAATTGGTCCTATGTAAATAAAACTGAATTGAACTGAATATCCACCATTGTTTATTTACAAAAGAGGCACAAATAAAAAGGGGCCGTTCAGTAAAAGCTAGAAGGCATATCTGCTTCATTAAAGGAGTTCTCCATGTAGATCCTGCACATGGAGCATAAACACGGTGCGTACTGATCATTTCATAGATTGTCACACAAAATACAGTGGACTTTACTATTTAATGATGTCCAGGTGTATACTTAGATCGTAAAGATTGTGTGTGTGTGTGTGCGTGTGTGCGTATCAAATCAAACACTAACAGAGTACATTTCATTCAGAAAACTGCATGTTTTGTCAGTTAACATTACACACACCCACAGAAATTATCACTTCATGCTGATTCTTCTTTTCATTTCAGGCTTAAACATTTCTGTGAAAACGTCAACCTGAATTGTTTCTAAATCTGTCTACTCAACTGCAGAACAGCTCTTCACCATTTCATCTGTGTTTTCCATGTTTTTTCCACGTGAATGCTGACCGCTGCATGGTTGCTATCATGTGCAGACCCACTATATTTATAAACAATTTGGCATAACCAAATACATTGTCCATTCTCTTGGGAGCTGTTGTTTGGACACACTGACTTACCTGTACATTAGCAGTGTGAGAGGGTAGTGAGAGGGTGTGACAGACAGTGAATGAATAATGGTTGGCATTCCCTCACCTGCAACAACAAGAGAAGGAGCGGAGGTACTGGTAGGTGTCGGAGATCGTGCCTCCACAGAGAACAAGCAATCTGCTCCAGCTTCATTCTTCACCATCACCTCAGGCCCTGACAGAGACAACGGACTACAAATCCCAAGTTCCTCCTCCTGAGCCTGCTGCCTTCTCAGGGCAACCTGGAAAGGAGGAAAGGAAATAAAACACAACATCACCCTTATCTACTGACTTTTCAGAACTGACTCACTACAGATTCAATATCTGCTTGATTGAAGTCAATGCCACAAAATAATAATAATAATAATAATACATAATTAGTACACGATTCACTATTCGATAATAAATATCCATTTGTAGCATTGGGAAAAGAAAAGAAATTGTAGAATGATAATGAAAATAATCCACATTATCCAGCCCAAGTTAAATCCTTGTTTAGTTAACATTTTAAGATTTATTTTATTTTTGTTTGTTTTGTGACTCCTGTGTCTGGGCTGCTGTCAAATTTCCCATGTACTGTCTGTCTGTCTGACTGTGTGTTTGTAACATGCCATAATTTTAAAATGTATAATTAGTTTTACTTCTAGTCTCAAAGCAAAACTATCAGTGAGCCCACCCAACAACATCTGTTTAACAAACCCCTAGAACGTTACTTAAAGCTACAAAGTAGAGCTGAACAATTAATCAAAATGACAATATGGCCTACTGCAAATTTCAAACTGCAGGAGGTGCAATATTTGTTAAAGGCAAAATGTGTGTCAAAATACCATTTTAAATTAAATATTGTCTACTGCAGAGATGTCCTGGCCCACACACCATATTCTACAGACTAAAGAAAACATCTGTGTCTGGTACATCATGTAAAAATCACACCATAATCATTTAAATATGTTTTTCAACGAAAATTAGAATAATTATGTGATTATTCCCCCAAATCATTTGCAATAGGCCCATCAGTCAAAATCATTCAGGCCTACTACAAAGTACAAAGTTACAAAGCAAATTACCAAAAAATTTAATAAAAAAAGTAGCTGCTCTCTATACTGTAGCCTAACTGTTAACTAATTTCTATTTTTATAATGCCTGCTGTTAGCAACAAGTGTAGCAATATAATCATAAAACACATTTATAAACAGTTAGATGTTGTGTAAATTAAGCTAGCTGTGTATAAACTCAGCTAGCTAGGTTGCTTAGGCTGTTAGTACACAAATTAAAATTAGGAAAAACAACTAAAGTAAACAGTGTCCAGGGGGGTTAAAAAGTAGGAGAACATGAATTTAAATAGTTTTCTGAACAATTAAATGTTGTATTTCCTGTTTCGCGCCATATAATCAACTTATTTCACCCCAAAGCCTTGACGTTTAACAGCTTCTTCTTTTCTTTTTTCTTTTTTTTTGCTAAAACTAAGCTAGCCGCGCTAACCGGTAAAATAACGATTACCTGGGCCGCCATGACTCTCTGCCTCTCAGCTATCAATTTACATTTGGGACACTGGCAGTCCCTCCAGTTGCAGAAGCGCTTGTGTCCCTTCAGAGGAGACACATAGCCGTGGTTCCTACAGCGGGAGCACTTGGGCATCCTCGGGGGTTTCTGGCCTTTGGGCGGGGACAGTGGTCCAGTGCACTCCGGCACTTGCTTGCTCTGCTTGTCCTTGCTCATGGCTAACCTTACTGAGAATGAAACAACAAAAAGTCTGATGCCAACTGCTAGACCTGCCCAGGAACTTTAGCTACTGTGTTTGCGCAGCAGGCTCGGCTGGTTAAAGCCTGTACTCGTGCCAGGCTGGAGGCTGTAAGGTCACCGTCCTTCCACGCCCTACTGCTGCTGTGACTTGTGGGAGGAAACGAGATAAGCGGGGGAGAAGCTGGCAGAGCCATGGCATCACTCTGCTGCAGTCACACTTAGATTATTAGCAAATCATAAATAATTAAAGCCCATTGTTACATATGAATTTATGTTTTCCTTACTACCTCAGAGGGGGACAGGGCAGCAATAGGCGTACCACAGTGTTGAAATACTTAAGGTCATGCATTAACTTTTACTTAAGTGGAAGTACAACATTAATAATTAACACAAGTATTAGCATCAAAACATACCAACATTAAAATAATCTTTATGCAGATTGGGACATTTCAGAATAATGTATATTATGTTATTGGGTTATGATTATTAATGCATTAATGTGTACATCACTTTAATGTAGTAGCAGGTAAAGTAAAGTAGAGCTAATTTCAACAATAGGCTACTTTATAATTCCCGACCCACCCACCCATTAATCATAATTTTTTTGTTGATTAAGTTTTGTATTATTAATCTGAACATGCAAAACAAGTAGTAACTAAAGTTAGTGGAGTAGTAGTAGAACATTATACATAGAGGTTTAGTAATCTTCAGTCTCAGGTGTACTGACCTGGTTGAAAGAAATGTCAAATGTACAACTCATTTAAATTCTCTATCTGTAACCTTGCAGACATTTTTTACTTAAAACAAAAAAAAAAAAAGAGATTTGAAATGAATCCCGGCATCTGCACACATCATCATCATCTTGTCTATTTTTAGGAAATACCGGAGCAACTGTGCGTCAGGATAATCACAAAGCATTTGCAACCACTTTATCAATGCCAGTGTTTCTGCACACACCATTCACAAACCAGACATTTAAAGTGACATCCAACCAGGCAGTGTTATACATGGCTTAATGTGAGTTAAAATGGTGGTAAACAACTTGCTATTTTGACAAAAATAGATCTTAGACTATATCATGATAATTATATTTTAAAGTTAACTTCTCAATTCCTGTTTTCCCTCGGTCTGAGGTGAGAGGTTATGCGGTGATCTGATAGGTATTCATGATGAAGTCAATCTTCTCATTAAATCTCATAGGATTACCACGAGAGTTTATACAACTCAATTACATTTCAGCTAACAATCAAATCAGGTATTGCCAAACATGATTCAAAGTCATATTTAACTGTAACCTCTTAACTCCAAAACTGGAAGCACAAAAGTCTGTGTGGGTAGCTGCTGAGACACATTCCTGACAAAATAATGTGGTAAAGAAATGTTGTAGTAAATATATTTTAGCATCCTGCTATAATACACTTACAGTAGCTCTTTTTTTCATGGCGGATGATATGCTACATGGTGAATTTATACATTGCCTTGTTAATATGCTAGGCTTGACTGAGCTGAAACCGAATTAACCTCCACACTGGTCAGTCAGTCAACCAAGTGGATTTATAGGCAGGGAGTGAAGTGAGATGAAACACACAGGCACCCAATTAAAAACCCGTGCAGCCAAATGGAGGGGGAATGAAAAGTTACCAATTAAAAAGCAGGCATTTACAATCACCCGCTCAAGATAAATAACTGCTACACTTGATTGGCTGAGGTCCTGGTGCTGTAAGGTAACTCAAAGCAGGGTTACAACACTGAGTTTAATTGCCTCGATAACATGAGGTAATAATGATAGATTATGATGCAGTAAAGAAGGATGTCATTTAACACATTTAACCTTTCTATTAGCATGACTGCTGTCTGAGCTATAAGCTACAGTGAAACAGCAGCAAGCTCAGTGCATAATTAAAAGATGATGTTTTTCTCACAGCAACAGCTGGTATGAATGGCTGCAACTAGGCAAGATTTTCATGCAATACTGGCTCACACCACCCAAGGCCACCACTGAGTAGGAAACCACCAGATGGGTAGGGTCCTGGCCACATTGACGGGTAGGTGGATGAATTTCATAATAGCTAATAAAAAACAAATAAGCAGAGACTCAGTTGTTTATTTTATTTCTTTTGGGTACTTTCCCAGTACACACAACCAGGAAGTGAAGTTATCAAAATAAGTAAATACCGTAAGTTATTGTGTCATTTTGTCTTATTTATTATTTACTTTTATATAACTTTTTTTTAAATCATTTCTCATCATATCATTTTAAATTTTGGAAAAAAATATAAACTTAATTTTAGCTAAATCGGGTGTGGCCAAATTTGGCGATTGTTTAAAACGATCAGATTTCGCTGTATCTAATTTACCAGAGCGCGTAAATCATTCAAAAATATTGTTATAAAGACCAATCAAAAATGTAACTAAACACTATAACTGTAATACATATTTGCGCTATACAATATTTGTTAAAAGGCCGATAAAAGAATGAATACTCGGTCCACATTATTACATTTTCATGCAGCTCAGTTCCCGTGTGAGGGATATACTTTCCGAGGAGTCCTTGAAGGCAGCATTGCCTAGCAACAGCGCAGTTTAGTTTCTCCGCCGGTGTCCTCAGCGAAAACTTTTAGCCAACTTTCTCTGACAAAATGCCCAAAAAGAAGGATAAGAAAATCGGCGACAAACAAGATGAAGTCAAGAAAACATCGAAATATGAGAGTTCGGCGACTCCTGCAGATAAAACAGCTTCAGACGACAAAGAGAAGGATTTATATCTGATTCAAATACGATATTTAAACGAGCAGTTGGAGAGGTGAGCCTGTTTCACAAGTTACTTTACTGCAAATGATGTAATAATATGTTTATATAAGTAAACGGTTTGTAGATAACTTTGTTACTGTTGTTTTTCACATTTAAGTTAATTTAAACAAAATTCCTTCAGTCCAACTTCTACGTGATTTGCATTGTGCTTTCGTGTTAGCTGGTCATTTGTTTGCTCGCGATATTATCACTTTGACATTAACGTTAGCTTAAAAGTACACAGTGTCCACCCATAATGCAGATACCTAACGTTAGCCATAACATATAACCAGTGGTGGGAAGTTTACTCAAGTAACGTTAAATATAATTTTGTGAGTGTTTCCAATTTATGGTAACTTACTTACTTACTCCACGACCTTTCAATACCTTATTGAACAGCTGTTAACTCTCTAAGTTAGTTACTTTTCAGTTTATAACGTTATAATACAATTGAATTTCTGTTGGGCCAACTCCAAATATAGGAACCTAGAATTATCACTATCTTGAAGTGAAAGTATGTGCACTTCAGACCAGTTTCAATCACAATTGAATGGGCTGCACCTACAGTTTTTGATGACCCCTAGTTCTTGTTTCTACTAAGGTTGAGTGCACTTATTGTAAGTCACTTTGGACAAAAGCATCTAAAAATGAACTATAAACTAAAAAAGTGGCAAACAAACTAAAAACTATCACAGCCTTTTGTAAGGCAGCATTGTACTGTATGGCATCCACTTTGCCAGAAATATTGAAGAAGATACATATCACCCCACTGTACATACAATATAGAGAAGACTAATATTATCACACTAATAACACTTGGGCCTGCTTGACCTTCTTCATCCTCCAGATACCAGCTGAAATATGATCAACTAGAGAGGCAGAAGAAGGACTTAACCTCTCAGTACAGTTCACTGGAGACACAGAAGAAGGACAGTGTAGAGTATCTGAAACGCTGCTTGGAGGTAAAGGAGGACGAGGCGGACGAGCTGACAGAGCGCCTGAAGAGTCAGCGGCAGGCTGCCGATAAGGACAGAGACGCCCTGCAGCTGCAGCACAGTCGGCTGAGTCAAGAGCTTCAAGAACGGATTGAAGAACTCACTACAGAAAACATGACACTTGGTGAGACAGAATATCTCTGTGGCTTAAACAAGGGTTGAGTTCAGCTCTTTCTGTAGCATGTTGAAGGTGACATGATTTTTCAATTTGATGTTTTTCCACATAAAACTGAGACGTAATTATTTACTTGAGAAAGTACTACTGTGTCGAAGAACAGTGCTTTTCCCATAGCGTGAAATTATTATTAATTTCCAACAGGGTGGCAGATGGGAAATGGAAATTAATAAATCAAGTTATGCCTAGGGCTGGGCAATAAAACAATAATGATAGTTATCGCAATATAATTTTCCTCAATAACCATATAACAAATGATCAATATATTGTCAATAAATGTTGAATTCATGTTGTTTTGAATGTTCTACCTCAGATTTGTGAAGTGATCCACTGTAATTAACCATCTGGTTTCTTCAATTTTCACTCAGGAGCAAAAATCAGCCTTTAAAATCAAATGATTAAAGGAAATAATGATTTGACATTTATCGTGATCCATTGTCAACCGCTTATCCTGCATACAATGTCGCGGGAGGCTGGAGTCAATCACAGCTGACATTGGGCGAAAAGCGGGGTACACCCTGACAGGTCGCCAGTCCATCGCAAGGCCACACATAGACGAACAACCAGTCACACTCACACTCACACCTAAGGACAATTTAGGGTCACCAATCAACCTAGCCCGCATGTCTTTGGACGGTGGGAGGAAGCCAGAGCACCCAGAGAGAACCCACGCAGACACGGGGAGAACATGCAAACTCCACACATAGTATAGAATAGTATGAAATGTTTTTTACCGTGACAACATTTTTGGCCATATCACCCAGCCCTAGTTATGCCACTCAGACACCTATTGAAATACATCCTGAAATACAAGCTAATTCACACCTCCAGCCCAAAACATATTATTACATTTTAGTAGACAGAAATGTTTATTTATAGATACCTGAGTTTGAGATTAATCTTTGTAAAACTTTGACACACTGACATAAACGGTATGGAAATATGACAACAATTTATTTCTAGCCAGCTTTTTCACTACATTGGTGGTAATTGGTTTCATTGGATTTGTAACATCAACACATTATAACTTACATTCAATCATCACGGCAACAAACCAGATGGCGGAACAGTTTAACAAACCTCTACACTGCATTTAACACAAACTGGCTGCAGAAACAAATGCACTGGTTGCTTTAAACTTCAGAAAGTGGAACCACTAAGGTTTAACTTTCTTGTCTCCTCTCTACTCCTCCAAGCGGCGAGGCTTGCTAGTCTAGAGGAGTTTCAGAAGCAGAAGGAGCAGCTGATGTCAAACATGGAGACTCTGGAGAAGCAGTTGGCCAGTCAGATGGAGGAACAGAAAGCTGCCGTCCACAACCTGGAGATGAAAGCACTGCTGGAAAAGAAGAGGTTGAGACAGCTGATATAATGACAGCATTATATCTGTAATTTTAGCCTACAAGTATATCCTATCCTAGCTATGAAGAAATAAAAAACTGACAATTATGGCAGAAAGGTACAGTGGTAGCATAAAATTCCAGGGATTTTTTAATTGAAGGGTAAAAAGCTGTACAAGGTTACATCACATGACTTGCATTCAGTATTATTAAATATACTATGCCTAAATTATTTACTTTCCTCTGTCCTGTTCCCAAACACAAAAGGATGGAGAAAGAGATGGAGAGCCACGTGGCGTCCATGGCGGCAGAGGTGCAGCACCTGGTGGACCAGAAGGTCCCGGAGGCGACCAGGTTGGCCCTTCAGGAGAACACGGAGGTTAAGGCTCAGTTCAGCCAGCTGTCAGCACAGGTACAGGTCCTAATGGGGGAGAACTCTGCCCTGCGGGACCGTAAGAGTCGGCTCAGTGTGGATGTGGACATCCTGGAGCAAATGCTCAGCAAGACGTCACGCAAGAGCTGCATCCGTGAGAAGGTAAGAGAAAGCCTTCATGGATACGTTTTTCCACTAATAAAAAGATAATCTATTCATTGCTCAGATCGGATCCAGTTGGTGTTGATGTTTGCATACATGAGTTGTAAGTGTTATGAATGACCTTGTAATTGTAAGATCTATTCAACTAAAGCATCAAATATGGTATCTGTAGATTCTTATTGTGTATTGTACTATATTGAAAAACATTTTTAAACTTGGTGCTATTAATATAGTGTTCTTACTGTTCACTCCAATCACACAAAACTACATTTTCTTGTGAGGACAGATCAAAATCTTTTTTCCAGATGATTTAAAATAACAATGATTAACTGATGTGGCTGAATGTATTGTGAAACAGGTACCCCGGCCAGAAGCTGTCAGCTTTTTCCCCTCTGTAAGGATACTGTGTGGATAATTATGGTCCCCAGAGGATGATTCCTTGACTAACAATTGACAAGCCTGAAAACCCAATTTATCTGTATTGTGCTGCAGATATTCATACTCTCCAGATAATAAATCTGTATGTTTTTGGTGACTCCTGATCTATTTCATTCTCTAAAAACACTGGACACCTTCTCTCCATCAGGTGGTGGAGCAGCTTACAGAAAAATGTCAGCAGCTGCAAGCGGAGCTGAAACACTGTCGGCAAGAACTCGAGCAGCTTCAGACCAAACACACAGGAGTCCTGGCTGAGATGAAGGCACTCAGGTCAAAGTTTACTCTGTCTCTACTGTCTGCACCACTGACTCATTTGTGATCCATTTATGTCAGTGTTCAGAGCAATTAACAAGAATATCTCAGTATGCTTTATAGACAGTACAAATCCACAATGTTTCTAGAAAAACGAAACAAATCCACAGTTTTTTCTTTGTAAACTGGCAGCACAACTCTTTAAACTAGGCTGCTGCTGTCAGTAGATTCAGTTATCACTCATTCACATTTAAATTATTATCTTAAATTGTAGTAGAAATAAAAGACTAAGATCACACAAAAGGATGGAAGCAGGATGCGGAATAGCAACAAAAACAATTATAAGTCAGATGTAATAAAAAAGTTTCAACTACAGATGTACAACAAATATAATAAAAAAATAAAGAAATAAAATAATAACTGAAGACTGAATAAAAAACATGATAAAGGAATTAAAGGAATACCAGTAGATACTAACAAACACAAAAAAGAGCCATATATTATCAAAATGGCCTAGTAGTACAATTAAGTGCCATAAATAAGGTACAAACAGTTTAGAGCTAAAATAACTAGTAACATACCTTTTTGCACACACAAACACAACAAAGAAAAGGCTAGAGCATACAGGAACACTGAAGCACACTCTTAACTAAAAGGACTTCATTGAATGCAGCTCTGGCCAACATAACCTAAGTAGATACAGTAACTTAGTGTAATTTCATTTTTAACAGTAATTTTGCACACCAGAAAAACAGATATTAAAAAGTAAGAACGGTGAAAGGTGAAGCTCAGTGACAATTCGTGGAAGTTTTTCATTTGAAGTACCAGCTACAGACACTGTGCAAAAAAAGACAGACAGCATCAAACTGTGATTTTCAGGCGTGACAACCAAAATTAGTTTGGACAACATTGGGGAATAAAAGATCTGAATTTAGCAGTGCATTAACTACAAGACAGAGGCTTCTTAACTCATGGTGCTGGAAGTAAACACATAAGTAATGAGAACTGATTGCATTTTACTGTCGTCTATGGGTCAGAAGTCGCAAAGAACGTCTATGGGGAAATATCATTAAAGTGGCTCAGGGGGCATCCAGATTTACACCAGAGACCTCTTGATGCGCAGTCAAACACACAGTGAATACAGCGTCACTGTCAGTGTTGTGTTTTCAGACAGAACGGGTCCTCGCTATCTGAGCAGTGCAGCAAATACAGAGCCGAGGCGAGTCGGCTGGAGGCGGAGCTACAAGAGGAAAGGAGGAGGAGAAGCAGGATGAAGAGCATCATGCAAGAAGCAGCAGTCGCTCTCAGACAAGCCCTGATGGTAAAACTAAGTCCTGACCCTGAACACCCCATGTCAGGCCAGTGGCAGAATTGTATCTTATTTAAGGACATTTTTTTTTTGTCTATTGATGAATACATTTTTTCCCCGCTGCTATGTTTCTATGACAAAAAAGGAGCTTAACGAAACTAGAACACATGCTGGCACTACAGGAAAAATCCACACTGGGACAATAGAACAATAAATAGACCTTTATTTACCAAACCATGTTAATGTTTAACAAATTATACAATAACTTTAATCTTCACCATATTGTCCCATGTTTTTGTGTCTAAGTGACTAACTGGGACAATATTTAAAAAAAAAAATTGGTCCAGTATTGAGCAAACACGCTGCAGTCGGCAGCAGTGAAACAGGGCTGCGGCGTAATCCTTGTGGGCAATTATGCTCCGTCAAAGTAGGTCCACTAAAGTGCTTGCTTTTGCCACAGACAAGCTCAGATTATTATTAAGTGTCTGACAACATTAAGGAAAGGATTCCTACAGAGGGACTTTTTTTGGGGTGTTTTTAACCCTTTAAAACACCAGAGTCACACATCAGTACAAACAAACAAAAACAACAAAGTCATAAACTACTGTGTTCTGAGAGGTAAAATTCTGTTTAACTATGGAGTCTGGTGGCTTTGACGAGAGCGATATAGCAACTGTTTCTGGTTAAACAAAATGAATCCTGCTCCTACCCTACCCTGATGCTGGCTCTGTTTGCTGCAGGAGGCACCCACTGAGCAGGACTTGGAGGTGGTCCACCAGTGGAAGCCGCTGATGCAGAAGCTACTGGTGGTCTTGGATGGACCCACACTCACCAATTCCACCCCTGAGAACAACCATCTGAATGAGTGGGAGACCTCTGACCCTGCAGCAGCCAGGTCATAAAATCACTCTCTCAGTGGATAATGTCTGTTGTTGTGTGTTCCGACCGTGTTTTTCAAGGGCTCTTTGATCTGCATTGTGCAACACACTGTGAGACGATAGTGTCCATTACCTACATATAGAAATAATCTATGACTTTAATATGCTTGATGGCATGTTTAAGTGTGTTTCTTTGTGAGAGGTTTTTATAACCCAATTGCAACAAAGAAATAAAGGTCTCAGCAGATTGAAAAAAAAAAAGAGTCACCATTGAGCTGTTTATTGTGTCTGTACAGAGCAGGGACCCTGAATCCAGCTTTGAGTTTCCAGTTCGAGCTGGCCCGCTACAGACCGGGCGATCTTGGCCTTGTACCCCGTCCCACACTGAAACACAAACTCTCCAGGACTGGAGCCGGGTCCGGCAGCACCCACGTGCCTCTGCACAGGTTTGTTTGGATCCTGTAATTCACCTACTTGGTCTGCAGGGGGCGGTGTTGTTTGTGAAAGATCTGTTTCAGTTTCCTTTATGAGCACAGTTTACTTAAAAACAGAAATGTCTTGTGGAAACTTGCTAAATTATCGTGTAAGAACTGTTAACAGGCTCTGGTGGAAAAAATAAAGCCCTTATGTTAAATGTAGGATTACATAGGGTGCTTTTCACTGAAAAGTAGATACTTTTGGTGGAAACGAGGCTAAACAATGGAGAACATGCAAGAACATTTTCATATTCTTACCAGAACCTTCCCGTAGTTTTTTTTTTTCGTGTCAGATTCAGTGTGTAAATGACTCACGTAAACATGATGACTACCTTCTGTGTGTTCATGAGAATTGTAAATTAGCACAATTAACACCAGTCAGGATGTGTTCATTCATGAAAATGACACTGAAGAGTAAAAAGAAGAACTACACGAGTTTGGAGACTGAAGTCCTGCTTGCGGCAATCCATAAAGGAAATTATGTAATTTATAGCAACATCCTCAGTGAAATTAAGGGAACAAGGTTGGATCGGTGTGTCTCTCTGCGGAGCGGCAGCTCTAAACAAGTTTCACATGTGCAGAAGCACAGCCCGTGGTAACAGCCATTCATCTGTCTCTGCCAAGATTTCAGCATGCTGCCACTCTCCTCTAAGGGCCTGACATCCAAAAGATTACACTTCCAGCTGACCTTATAATATACAGAGACAAATTAACCTTAAGTTAGTGCGTCATTTAAGTCGCTTTGCAGTTTGATATTGTGGAGATATCGTTTGGCTTTATGAATACATTTTAAAATTATCCAATTATCCAAACAGGATAATATCAATAGAATTATGAAGTGAAAAAACATGAACCCTACAAGATATCTGGACCATTCGTAAACTGCGTTAGTGCCATAGAGACATTTGAAAATACGAGAGAATTGGTGAATGTCCACTTAAGAACAAATTTTTTTGTATGAGTTGTTCTTGCATGAGGCTCAATATATATTTATATTTTAGAGAGAAAACATTAACTAAAACTCATCATTTACCTTATTTTAAATTACTAGAGTCTTTCATTTTGTCATTTAAAGGACTTCAAACTTCAGGACTTTGCTAACTTATCAAACAACAAAATAAGTTTTCACACTTTTTGTGAGAATGAATGTCTTGAATGTTTATTTGGAGATAATACCATTTACTCTTTAATGTAAAAGATCTCTTATCTAAAGTTGCACCTTTTTCTTTTGTTTACAGTCTGTGATGTCAACTCTTTGGAATTACCTGTATTTCTCCATAAATTGGTCATAAAATGTGCGTGTATTTATCAGGCTTCTAAGAATCGACTTAAGGGTAAAAGAAATTTTGGCTCAAAGCTGTGCTTAAAAGTTAGTTATCAAGCATCATATTCCTAATTTGAGTGAAGTGTAGGACTAAAGCTGAAGTGTCAGTCTTAGAGCTGATTCATGACACTTTCCTGTGCCGCAAATGGGATTTTGGATGGTGTTCTAGGCAAGAACCACTGAACAGATTTCCTTATTTAAGAATATTCTCAGATAAAATCACATTGAATAGTGAAATTCGTTTACATTAACAGACATTTGACAATCAAGAATTTTCAAGAGAATACATCATGACATACACATGGAGAAAAAAAAGTAAAGAAAGTTGATCTTTATATGAGTGCCATCAATCGCGCCTGCTACTCCTGGGAAGCCAGCTATTTGCATGAATTGTGTTTCTGTTGGATTACACGGGTTTTGTTGAGAAAATGAAAAAATGTGGACAATATGTGGAGCTGTAGGTGCCATAATTGTTTCCATGACAATTCAGCTTATTGATTGTTGTGATGGCCCTAAATCCTCAGCATTGCTTTGCTGCATTTTCCCTGTGGCAAATAAACAAAGCATCATCACAACCTTCAATTTAGCAAAAAGCGCATTGCTGTGTAAAGTCAGTGGTGAGATTACGTCCCTCACCAACTCGCTGACAAAGATACTGCCTGCTCTGTCCAAACGATACTGTATAATGAAATGCGAATTGTCAAATAATTCAGAAACATTATTCCTCTACTGAAAGATTTGTGTATGTCTCTGTCCCCACAGTGCCATCACAAACCTCTTTTGCAACCCCATAACCACCTGAGAGACCTCTCGAGCTGTCTTAAATAACTGGGAGAGTAAGAGTGATTCTTAGCATAAATAAATTTGAAAACTTGCTTTTAAACCCCTAACCCTAAGTTGGAAAGTACGTGTAAATTTCATCAATTCTCTGCACAAACATGGCAGTTTGAGAAGCTTGATAAATACGGGTCACAACAATAGACAAACACAGTCTGCTTTAACTAATACCACACAAAAAATTATATGTTTTGATGTTTTTATTGAACACACCGTGTAAACATTCACACTATAGGGTAGAAAAAGTATGTGAATGAGACAAGATGTTGGTTAGAGCTGCCTTGCCCGGTAAAGAACACACATCAGTTTTAATTTTGCTATTCTCAGGAAGTATTGCCTAATGTGAAGTATGCCTTGAGCAAAAGAGCTCTCAGAAGAACTAAGATTAAGAATTGCTGACTTAAATGAAGCTGGAAACGGTTACAAAAGTATCTCTAAAAGCCTTGATGTCCACGGTAAGACAAACTGTCTATTAATGGAGAAAGTTCAGCACTGTTCATACTCTCCCTAGCTGTGGCCATCCTGCAACGATGACTGCACGACCACAGAGTATAGTGGAGGGGGAATCATGGTTATGGGGCTGCTTCGCTGCCTCGGGGCCTGGATCGGTTGCTTTCACTGAATAACATGAATTCCAAAGTTTATCAACAAATTTTGCTGGAGAATGTCAGGCCATCTGTCTGCCAATTGAAGCTCAACAGAAGAAAATCAACAACAGAATGGCTTCTGGAGTGGCTCAACCCGAGATGCTGTGGCATGACCTCAAGATAGCAATTCACACCAGTCATCCCAAGAATATTGCTGAACTGGAACAGTTTTGTAAAGAGGAATAGTCCAAAATTCCTCTTGACTGTTGTTCTGGTCTGATCTGCAACTAAAGGAAAGGTTTAGTTGAGGTTATTTCTGCCAAAGGAGGGTCAACCAGTTCTTAAATTAAATTATTAATTAAAGGGTTCACAAACATACTGCGAATGTTTACACGGTGTGTTCAATAAAGAAATGAAAACATATAATTGTTTGTGTGGTATTAGTTTGAGCAGACCGTGTTTGTCTACATAGATGAAGATCAGGTCACATTTAATGACCATTTTATGCAGAAATCCAGGTAATTCCAAAACGTTCACATACTTTCCCCTGCGACTGTATATGTTTATGACACTTATTTAACTGTTGTTGCTCTTTCCATCCCTTAGGAAGCCGTCCACTCAGAAAACAGCCATTGACAGTCTCCATTGACCTGCATGACTCAGCAGTCGGATTTCGGACCTCCAGAAACTCATTCACTAAAACCAAGTTAACAGTAACTAACCTCACTTCCTTCTCATGTTGGAGAAAACCCTTAGCTGATGTAACTTTGTGGCTATAAGTTATACATAATGATAAACACTTACTGAAGCAGTACAGTTTTATAACATCTGGTAACGCCAGACTGAGAAAGGGTGTAATCTATGAATTCAGCTTTCATTCATCATAAAATTAATGTGCCATTTCTTCCTTCACAAAAAACATGCACAGTTTGTCATTTCAGCTGCTTACATCCAAAACTAAAAGTAGTAGTTTGATGACTTGAAGTAGCATGGGATCATGGTAGTTGTTGAACTGCACCTTTACCTTGATTAAAATTAATGATTTCTCTGGTTTGAAAATTGTTGGAAATATCTAGAATAAGTACACAACTCAAACACTGACATACTGTAGATTTATGAATACAAATCTCAACCGGCTGTGAATCATAAGTTTGTTTGAAGTCTTCATTAGAAGCAAATTTAATTATTACTGAGGAAGGTTGTAGCTGGTTTATCTTTGCCTTTTGAATTCATATTTTGAAGGCATGTTTTACTCCTGTAGGTTGGGAACTCGTTGTGGGTATCGTTTTGTTTTTGATTGAAATAGTTTCTTTTGAGATATATATATATATTTACTTGACAGCATGTGTTCATTTAATGCTGTGTTCTCCAGAGTGTGTTATGGTCTAAAAACATTGCATCTCTCATCGCCTAAGATGTGTTTAATGTTAATTAATTATCAATAATTAATGATCAGCCGCCTCCTTGGGAGAATCCATATGATCAGTGTATCTGGATGGGTGTCTCGTGTTGTAGTTTTGCAAAAGCTTTTAGCTTTTTTGCTAAAAATATATGGAGAAGCATTTAGAAACCCAGCAGTCACAGAAGAGACTGAAAACTATAGATGAAACCTAGAAAAATGTTTTTCCATGAGGCAAGAAAAACAACTGGAAACATGATTTTCAAGGCAGTTTAATTTCCCTTTACTTAAAGGTTCAGTGTGTAATATTAAGGAGGATCTATTGACAGAACTGCAATAAAATATACATAACAATGTTTTCAGTGGTGTATAGAGACCTTACATTATGAACCACTATGTTTTTATTACCTTCTAATGAGCCATTTCTATCTACATACACTGCGGGTCCTCCTTACATGGAAGTTGCTATGTTGTGCCGCCATGTTTATACAGTAGTGGACAAAAGTCTCTACAGAGTGTGTTTTGTCACTACATTGAATACGCACCAAGAACAACTACAAGAAGTAACGTTCGTAATAGTAGTAGTCGTTGACTTGTAAGAAATAAGGAGAAATTTGGACAAATGGAGCAGAGCATGTCGGCCACCGTACTTTCTCCTGCACTTGGGAAGGGAGGAGCGAGCTGTGCATTGATGTGGTGTCCATTTTTCCTTCTTAAATCTTTATGGCAAAAGAGAAATAAAGTATACATGGGACGCAAAGATGTATTCAGAACTTTGATTTGTGCAAAAACACGTATTGTATTACATATTTTTCAAACATGTCATTTGTAATAAGGTTATAATAACAGTTTGCTTTCCATGTAGAGCGCACTAGATGTCTGCGTGTTGTTTATATGCTCTGATAATGCTAATCCAACACATCTTTGTATTAGCATCCATGTTGATTCCACATTCAGACTTGAGCACATGAACACACACTGAAGTCAGAAAAACGACTTCACAACTCGGGAAATGGGACAATCTGAGGAGCACGTGAATGCACCGAGTCGCTGGTTGCAATTCGCAACCCTCACCACTAGATGCCACTAAAACTTACACACTGGACCTTTAAGCTTTGTGGGTCATCAATGAAGACAGGACACTGATATATTCTTTAACTGGTGTTTATTGTTATATGGCAAAGTCTCAGGCACTTCAATTCTCATTTGAGGATGAAAGTCAGTACCTTAATGAATACTAGAGGACAGAGCTTATATTACACGAGACATGGACAGACATGGAAAGAAAGTTGACACGTAGACAAAAGGGAGAATAACTAAACTCTAGTGACCTGCGTATGTACAATGAAATACATATATCTGCATTAAAAACTATACTTTGATAAATATATAACTTCATGGGTTGTTAAGTAGTAATAGGAAATATTCAAAATACTGTGATTCATCTTTTTAAATAGATACAAAGGATTTATATAAAAGTAAAATTTCTCCAGTCTAGATTACGTCTAGTTGTACATGTACTGTAGAGCTGGGCGCATGTGTGAGACCAGGATGTCGAGGCAAGCAATATATACAGGAAATATTTCCTCTAACATGTGGGTGGATAATCCTCCATCTGTATACTCTGATGAGAGGGGGGGGGGAATCACAAATGAAGAGGTTTTGGTGCTCTTGAATGATCAACATTGAGCTTTAGAAATAATTTTTAAAAAAGGTTGTCAAATTGCAAAAAGAAAAAAAAAAAATCTAAGAAAAAAAAAAAAAGGCATTTAGAAACATTTTATGTTTGTGTTGGTTTGCTGATTGTTTGGAGACACAGAATCTGAGGGGACTTGAGGCACCAGCTGGTTACATTCATATTCAAAGGGCACTTTCAGCTCCTCATGGAAGAAAGGGTGCGCATAAATAAAAAACATTTCCAGAAATCTCATTGGTTGGTTGGTGCTTGGGATTAAGTCCCTCATCCAGCTGTGGGTAAGGCATCGTTCAGCATGAACCAATAGCAGCGCAGGGTTTGTAGGGAGAGGCGGGGCCTCTAATCAAACATGCCCCTCAGAGTGGGACTTGGTGACATCTTTCTGCCGAGTCGAGGGGTCCCCTAGAATACAGATGTACACAAACACACATGTAAACGCCTCGTGTAACAGTCAACATGTAAACGGACGTGAAATTAGAAGAACAGGGTGGTTTTAAACTGGAGGGAGAGACGAGGACGTACCGGTGACTGGGCTTTGGAGAAGTTGACGTGTGCATAAAGCAACACTGCAATGTCCTTGTGTCCTGCTTCCAGAGCGATGGACAGGGCGTTGCTCTCATCCTGAAAGAAGACAACAAGGTTAAAGCAGAAGAAGGAGAAACTGAAAATAAAACCTGTCAGACAGCAATCAGTCAGTATTCAGTGAACAAATGTTAAACAATTTTTACAATTTAAGGCCTTAATGTTCACTGAATAAATTCATGGATTGATTATCGTCACTTATTTCAGGTCAGTAATGCTCTGTATCTGCCCCAGTGTTGAAGTATTCAGGTCCTTTACTTTAGTAAAAGTAAAAGTATGTAAGTATAATCACAAAAATGTACTTTATGTATTAATAGTAAAAGTACCTAAAGCAGTAAACTGTGACTGTGTTATTATATATCCTCAATACATTAGTTTATTCCTCATGTATTAATTTAAAAGTATTATTTACTGTTGTAGTTGTTAGAAATGGAGCTCATTTTGAACTATTTTGTATCGGACTGCGACTAATGTACATTACGCATGCATTGATTGATTGTAAAAATTCAATCAAAAAATGTGACACCATCATCATCAGAAATGTTACCCCGAGGACAGGTGACACCTTCACAATGCTTATTTTGTCGAACCAACAGTCCGACCCTCAACATTAAAAATAAATGAAACTTACAAAAGGAAAAGCAGGAGATGAAATTTTTTTCCATGAAAAATTATTTAAATGATTATCAAAATAGTTGCAAATAAACTTTGATAAATCGCCTCTGCTCTACTTATATGAAGTGTTGGGTACTAATTCATAACAAAACCTATTTTAGAAGCTCTTCATAGGTTTTTAAAGTAACTTAAGTTATCAAATAATTATAGTAAAAAGTACAATATTCCCCTCTGAAATGCAGTAATGTTTGTTTAAAGTAGCATGAAAACAAAATACTATAGTACCTCCATTTTGTACTTAAGTACAGTATTGATTAAAAATGTGCTTAGTTCCACCCCTTATGCCCCTTCACGAGTTACTCACGCTGTCACTGAGCGTGGCGTCACAGCCGGGTTGAGCCAGCAGCAGTTTCACGATCTCCACGTGCCCGTGTTCGCTGGCACACATCAGCGCCGTGGAGCCCTCGTCGTCCTGGACGTTGACGTCGGCCCCATGGGCCAGCAGGGCCCGAACCATGTCCATCCTGCCGTGACTGACCGCCAGCATCAGCCCCGTCTGACCAGCCTAAAACAGGGACAGGAAACAGATTTTTATTAAAGCCAGCACAGCTTTATGTCCTACAGTCATTATCATTATTTCATTATTATTGTTTTAATCTTATATTATTGTTGATTTTTGTAAATTGTCTGATTTGCCTCATTCCCTCCTGAAATGTTTTAATTCTGGTTTAACCATGTAAGGCACTTTGTGACGGTTTTGAAAAGTGCTGTGTCAATAAAGTTTATTATTGATTATAATGATCTCGACAGGCTATCCGTTCCCCAAGTCATAAATCCAAACTACAGCCTTCTTTAGCACAGTTTAAGTTAACGCTGTTCCGGGAAATTTAATGCAAATATACTGATACTGAAACAGTTACCTGACAAGTCAGAAAACAAACTGAAGGCTGCAACTAACAAGTGTTAAGTTTTTATTCTGTTTTTATCCAAAACCCAGAAAATTTTTATTTACAATTCTATGAAACTGAGAAAAACCACAGGTCTTCATATGAGAGTCTGGAACCAGAGAAATTTTGCATAATAAATGAGTAAAACGATGAATTAAATGTCAAAACAACTGCCTAATAATATTCTGTCTTATCGGCTATCAAGTAAAAATATCACTGATTCCAGCTTCTCAACTGTGAGGATTTGCTGCTTTTCTATGTTTTTTTATCATTGTAGTTTTAATATTTCTGGGTTTAGAACAAAATAAATAAGTTGGGGACGAACCTAAAATGGGGATTTGTATAAAGTATGTGGTTACGCAAAGTTATCAGTACATAATGGATTAAAAATAACAACAACAACAAAAAAAACATTTAGCGAACTACAATGAAAGTCTGATTATTAAACAGCTATGGTGAAATGAACTTGTGTAAAGTGTGAGGGGAAGATGGAAATGGCTTCCTGTGATACAAAATATTCATGTGATCAATATACAGTAAATTAGCGTTAGACTAACAAAGAGCTAAAAAAAAAAGCTGTATCAGATGGAGCCGGCTACACGTGGGTGAAATACACGTTATTGGTTGGGAACAGGATAAATATTGTCACTGTGACTGTAGTGTTTGCTAGAAAGAAAACAGCTGCAGCCCAAACTAAAAATACAAATAAACAACTCTACTGCTGTAAATATGAGCAAGTAAACATCCACCCAGAGAGAACAGGCCTCACCCGTGTGTCAAAAATACAAACAGTTCCCTTCTTTTACCACTTAGGGGCACCAAAGTACAATTTTTCCCACTACAGGGTAAAGAGTACATCCAAAATTAAACTTTATGATAAAACATTTTGCATGGTTAGCGGAGACTCCTGTGCTCCATCTGCTGTTCTAATTCATTAACTCATGGAAACCTTTTAAAAAACTAACACTGATAAACTCTTAATTTAAGCCTCTTTAACTTTAACCTGCTGTGGTTTATAAACAGAAAGTCGGCCCTTGGTTTGTCATCACGTCCTTCGTCTCCCTGAAACCTGAACTATGAGCGGTGGCTGTTGGTGCCCTGCCTCTACCTTCTGACCTGCAGTCACTGACCTGACTGGCTCGAGCGTTGACGTCGCCCTTGCTGAAGAGCTCCTCCACGATGCGCATGTCCTTGGGCGTCTCCACTGCTGCCAGCGCGGCCAGCATGATGGGTGTGTATCCCGCCTTGTTCTGCTGGTTCACGTTGCACACATCTGAAACACACACACACACGGGCGGCATGTTTAAGGCACTCCGCAGAGGCTCAAGGGCTTGATACTTTTACAGTGCGGGTGGTCTCGTATGCTGCAACTGTCTGTGATTGACTTTTCACCGTCGCCGCCCGTCAGTCAGCGACACAGTAATGCACAGGGACTCGTTCTGGGACGACCCGTCCTCTCGAGGAGGAGAGGACTAAGGAACTGGGCCTGGGTGTGAGGACAAAGGCTACAATGAGAACAGGGGGGTGGTCCTGCTGTCACAGAGCACAAGGACACAAAAGGCCGAGGAGACAAAAGGCTTTCAGAGCAGCGAGTGGCCGGGACCTCATCACCGTCTATTGAGCCTTCAGGGAGATCTCTGCATGGCAGTGGTGGAAGATCAGATCTTTTACTTCAATACACTACTAGTAAAAGTACTAATGTCACACTGTGAAAATACAGTTAAAAGTCCCGCATTGAAAATGTTACTTAGATAAAAGTATGTAAGTGTTATAGTAGTAAAGCAGTAAAATGTGACTGTTATTCTCTGTTATTCTCTCATTAGATTGTTAAAAATAAATTTAAATAATTTAATGGAAAAGCAGTGAATCTTTACATTTGGGAAGCTAACTAAATGTTTTTACATGAAAAACTTTTTACCC